TGGTGCTTGACCAACCCAATCTTGTGGTAGCATTTCACACTTTGAAGGTGCAAAACGCATATCGAACATCGTTGCACTAGCACTCAAACTATCCAGAAAAGCTTGCAACTTACTTGGAGAAGGGTAAAATTGAGGTGAGGAATGGGTCATTTCGATCACGGCAAAGCATTAGCTTTGAGAGCCACAATCGAGGGTTTTTTTCGGATGTAATAGCCTTTCAATATTGTATTTTTATCTGCTGGTTTCCGTCGGTACCAATGTTTCAATATTTTAATATGAAATGTGCTAACTCGAGGTGACATTGCGGTTTCGGGTGCGTTTGTCTGGCGAAATTTTGCTTCCGAGACAGACGAGTTGCAACCGTGGGATAACTTTGTAAATGAAGATCCGAAATGGGCCACAGAAGGGGCAATGTGGGCGCAGACACAAGCTGTACAAGAGAGAGGAATTGCAAAACTAGTTAGTAAATTGAAGGTCATTATTGAGAGTGCGACGTATCCTTCCGTAAAAGAAAGGATTTGAAGAAGTGAATGAAAGACATGCGTCCTTGAGTGAACATTTTTATTCAAACCACGAAGGGTGAATGCGGTGAATATATAACCCAAAGTGCACGAAGAACGAAAGTGGTTATCCATTTGATTTATGACGTGCTTACACGTTGAACGAAAAGGGAACTTACAATTCAATCCGGAAACATGGATTGGCTAATCACATAAGGCCCAATTGAGTTGGTGGTGGTGGTAGTGACCAGGGCAGCAACGGGGTTGTCTGCTTTCCGGATAGCCTATAATTTGAATTGCCTTTTCTATAATTGGTTTTAAAATTGTGAAATCTCTAGAAAACTACTGTTTTATGCAACGGTGACATTTGACAAGATCCACTTTATCATGATCTGTTGCTGCTATGCAGCGTGCCCATCTTTCAGATGGTCATTTTATTTGGTGGCCATCCTCTCAACTTCAACACATTTCCATCTGATGCACCGAAACTTTATCTTACTCTTTTTAGGTCCACCTGTGGATTTTCAACCGATACCTGATTATCGTCCAAGTCACGGTGTTTTTCTACCGGATAGGTCACCTATCGGTTGTGAATGTGACCACAACCTGGAACTGGAAAAGGAAACAGAATCGGATGATTGCAAACCGTTAGAACCATGTTGGGAGAATCGGCGACGGCGTTGTTGCGCAGCAACAGCTGGGGCTCTGATTCCTTATAACAGACATAAGCGTCTGGCGGCCCCGGTTGGTCATGCAGTGTACGAATGCAATTCCGCGTAAGTGAACGTTTCTGTATGGTTATGACCATGCCCACGAGTAAATTCGAATATAGATTTCAGCCTTGTAGAGACAGACATCCATTAAGTAATAGAGGTATAAATTGGTTCACTATGATAATGCAACATCTCTGCAGTTAGCTACAGTGCTTCCTAGTTTGTCACCCCATACCTCATTTTCTCCGTGCACGAAGAAATTCACTTTATGATTATACACATCAGTTCAGTTTGTGCAACCATTAACCATGTACTATCATTGCGGTTTTGGTTGCCGTCTTTTGACTGCCCATTTGGATAAAGAATAAGGGAAGACAAGAAAGCTGACAGTAGAGTTGAGCAGAAAATGGAGAATTACATTGGTCTCATGGTCGGTCGCTGGTCAACCTCCTGTGAACGCCGTTCATGTCTGAATTGAAGATGCCGCGTTTGCCAGTATTCTCACGGAATCAGACTAATGTGTCACGGGTCACGTGTCGAAAATGCCTGGAAAAGGGCCACTGGACCTATCCATTCAGAGGGAAGCGAAAGTATCTGGAACGACTATACGCACATGTTGAACCAAAGTAAACCGTCGAGAAAATGCATCAGTGTAGTCATTGCAACAACTAGAAGAACATCAGTGCGAAACCGTCAGGATTGAAATCCTTGCTAATGCTCCGACTGTTTTTAAAAACATTTGCACCAGGGGAAAATGAGCCGGAGTTCGCACAAAGAAGTAAGTAAAGACAAGGATGACGTAAATGTGATGCTAGCGGATAGCTAAGGATTAGAATGAAACCCACTTTCCTCGGGGGTGGGGGTTCCGAAATCAGAACACTAAAGTTGTTTCTAATGACTGCGTTTTTATAACCCTTGTATTCTGTGCACGCCGCGTTCGAAATTCAATCACCAACTCAGCTTGCTGATTGAAATGAATAATCTAACCCTTTAAGGACGTGTTTTTTCCGTAGTATGTGGAGATTTTTTGTTTTGAACGTCATGGGGTACGAACCAATACCAACTGATGCCAAATCCAGTTCAATTCTCATTGGTCGTTACCTTACGTTTGACACTATTGGCAAACCTCTCAACCAAACAGATTAAGTTGTTTCAGAACGGAAAACAACGGTTCGAGGATTTCAACGGAAAATACCGGTATGGAAAAACTAAAGGGCCTAAGATTTATGATTAGCGAGCGCCAGCTTTGGGCCAAAAATTGTGTGCTGGAAGTATTCAGAAAACGGTGGATTTGTAATATAGAAGGAAAGCACAACACTGTTTTTCTATAATACATTGCAAATATACAGTTAGGTTCTTGTTGCTTCTCTGGTACTTCATTTGGTTTGTTCTCCATTGCAGAT